TATTTTAGTAAATCTGACTAACTCTATAGCTATTCCTATAGCAATTATAATGTACAGTCAATCCTACTATTTTAAAAAGTACAAACAACTGTTTGGTTTTTTTCCATGATCTTGCCCTTATCTGCTTACGAGTTCGTTCCATCGTCGTAATAGGTTAGGTACGTTACACCAGATAAATCCATAAATCAAGGTGACGTGTATCCGTGTGTACAATAATAATGTGAAGTTATGCGTGACTCTGTTAGATATATAGTCATTCGGAAAATAATATGGTATACAGCACGTGCAGACTATACGTCGTCGGAATATCAATGCACAGGGTGTTTGTCGTACACAAGGCGAGTTTAAGTTCGAAATGAAACGGAGACTTACCGTCACTAAAATTCAAAGGAGAACACAATAACATGATACTATTGTTTATTATGCTGAAAGCTGGGCAATTTAACCAATTTTTTTAACTGCCTATTTATAGTTAAGTTATCATAAAATAAAAAAATAACTAAGCAAATTAAAAGAAAAATAGGTTTTTTCAAATTGTTATAGAGACTCGAAAGAGGTCTTTATTTTGAAAAAATCTATTTCTCCATATTTTTATTTTTTTGGTAAAACTCACTCAGTGTGTATTGTTTGTACTTTATAGTTCCTATTCGATTAGAAAATGTAATTTTAAACACTTAGACATACTAGGTCATACTGCAAATACACTTTAAATTTTAGCTAACAATTATCTAAGTATAACCTCACAAGCCATAAAATTGGTCACTAACTATCACTAGTTAGTAGTTACTACGTATACGGGACACACAGATTTTACATAAATGTTTTTAGGCTTTTTCAAATTTCACAAGATTTAACATTGAGCATGACATTATATATACAAAATGATATATTTAATTATTTTCATTTAATATTCCTAAAAGATGTAATTATTTTTACATAATATGATGACATATAGAATATATGTGTATAATAACAATGTTTTTACAATTTTTTTATCGAAATATTTTTACATTTTCGGGTGTTTTCTTTCAATAAACATTTTTAATTTAATATTCCAAGGAAAATATTTTTTGGTGCACTCCAGCACATTTAAATTGAATTTCTTCAAGTTAATGAATTATAATTACATATAAAGTTATATCTAAGAATTTAAGTATTTAACTAAAAATAATTTCAACAAATATTTCCATCGTAAATCCCAAAATCCCTGTTTGAGCACTTCTATTAATTGGGCGTCCATTATATAGACTTCCTCGATGAATGGACTATCCAACAAAAAAATAATTTTTCAATTCGAACCAATAGTTCCTGAGATTAGCGAGTTCATACAAACAAACTCTACAGCTTTATATTTTAGTATAGTATAGATTATAATTAATATTAAAATACCTACTTAAAGATTTACTATCTTGGGTCATTTAAATACATTAAAATATCCGTAACATACCACAGAACACAAAAAAATAATAAACACTTTAGGGCGTGTTCTCACCAAAAGCAACTGATGACGGTAACGCAACCGCGACGCAACGCGACATGTATTATTAAATTGACGTGTTCTTACAGGTCGCAACAGGACTGGAAAACAACGCAACTGTTTGAAAACTATTTTTGAGCAACTCGACGTGTCAGTCTCTTTTGTCTAGTTGCTAGTGAATAGTCACAGTAATTTACATTCTAATATCTCTATTTTTTTTTTAATTTAATAAAAGATTGTCATTTTATTTTTGTTGATTATTCTAAAAATAAAGAATATAATAAAGTTTAGTTGTATTTAATTTAATTATTACCTTATTGTAATTAGAAGTCTTTCCTCAACAGACACTGCTTTTCTATAGTTGGTATCTTTTTTTTTGAATTGAAGTCTTCATTAGTTCTACTAGTTCTTGAAAACTTTCAATACTCATTCTATAAAAACTATGAAATTTAGCTGGGTCTTGGTCTAATTCTCTTGTTAGTATAAATGAACTGTGGTTGACGTTGAGTGAATAATATGGATGAACCCAATTTTTTTTTTGTTTTTTGTTTTTTATACCTCAAATACATAAATGCTACAACCATATCCTCATCGGATGAAGACATTTTGATAACTGAATATGCATTGAAGTTGCATTGAAGTTTCATATTAATTTTTTAGATGAGAACAACTGGGCAACTCAACTACAACTAGACTCGAATCTCTATCGCGTTGCCGTCATCAGTTGCTTTTGGTGAGAACACGGCCTTAGAAATTACAATTTTTTTTAGGGAATACCTAAAAACTTAGATAAAGTTCTCTAGAATGTTATATAAAATATTTTCGAAAAGTGTTAAAAAAAAGTATTCCGAATACCTACTAGATACCCAAAAACTGAAGTATTTCACTAATTTATCCCACCAAATGTATTCGAGCTTCAAAAGATAAAATATATTTTAATGTATGATTAGTTTAAATAATATTTAAAATTAAAAATTTTATTTTATTAGTTTGTTTTCCTATTAACATGATCGGTGTGTACATGCATACTTATCTAAAAAACATTTCTTGCCAATTATATTTGTATACTTAGTATTAATGTATTATAATTTTAAACTTAAATACGAATGGTGAAGTCTTATCATTGTTTTCTCATACTATATTATAATCATTCAACGGTTAATTCTAATTAACCATATTTTGTTTGATATTATATAGGTCGACGACGTTGACCTTTCTTATAACTTTCTATTAGAATATTATTCTTAAAGGACATGTAATTTATAAAGTGATATACATTTGGTATCAGCTGTATAACATTAAAGAATACATTTTTAAATCAAAAGCTTACTTTTTAAGAGGATGTCAGTGCAACATTAGTTTACTCTCTCTGACCCATGCAAGTTTAGCAGAACCAACCCTGTGTCGTTACTTTCAGTATTAGGATAAATTCATAAATCATCAAACTTTAAGTTAAAAACATATTACCTGTTTCACTATGTTGGTTTTTTACGATATTTTAATTTGTATGCAATTTATAAGCATTTTTAAATTGTAATTAATATATTTACGCCCATATAACTTACATAAAAATTAAAATATCATAAAATAGCCAACGTAGCGACTTTGGTAATGTTCTTAACTTAAAGTTTGACAATAGGTGAATTCACTCTTATACTTAAAGTAACAACATAGTGTTAGTTCTGTTGAACATAAATTTGGTATGTTGTACTTGTGTCGGAAAGAGAAAACAAATATCGTGCCAACATCCTCTTGTATCATTATTTTATGTTTATTGTCATTATTGTAATAAATTAAAAATCAACTTCAGAAGTTCGACAATAATATTACAAAATCAAATACACAATATAGAATATTGTTGACATAAAATTTTAAAAATATATATTTTTTATGTAGTATTTGGTGTCTATTAATTATGAGTATTATGACCTACTACACAGTAAACATTTTCCTAGTTTACTAAAGACTTTAATACAATATACGACATTATGTAGGTACCTATTGTTTTTTTAACCACAATTAATTTTCGGCTTTTATGCACAATATTAACACTAGCAGGGATATCACGGATCTTTTCTTATCGGATAGTTAAGCCAAAAGTAATTGCTATACAAGTAATAATTCTTTCTGAAAAATCACTAATTATTAGTAAAAAAAATGAGTGGGTAAGTACAATATAATTGCGTATAACACACGCGTTAATATACATTAGTTTTTTTTTAATTTCGAAATTAACTAACTATTGAAGTTATAAATTTTTTTTGTTAAATAAAATTAATGAGTAGGTATATTTTTGATCAGATTTTCGAGTGATCGAAAACATATTTTCATGCAACGCGAGAAACAAAACTATTATTTTTAGTAGGTTGGTCGTAGGTGCTTACTAAAAACGAACAAATATTTACTTAAAATAGCCAAAATAAATATATCTACTCAGCAACACCTTATCAAAATATTAAAGATATAATTTTATTATAAGGATTATTTGTATAGAGATGCGCACACGCCAATCCGGAAGGCGCAATAATCATCAACTTTTCAGGCGTCGAATATGATATTATTGTACCATAGTAATATTATTACATCAAGACGGTTTGATTTCTGCCTTCAATATTATAGCGCTCGTGCACCGCCGCCGAAAGAAATGTGTGGGCCGCCGTCCGTAATATTATTACGTGCGCGCCGCGCGAGTCGTGGTGACCGCCGTTTTCGTGTCGCTGGCGGCAGAAGTGGAGGAGATGGTGGCCGCCGATATCAGCGTGTCGATGTCTTGCGACGGGGCCGGGCGCGGGGAGTATTAAAGGGCGAAAGAGCGAGACCTCGGCGGTATAGTGATGTGCGGCTGAGCGAGAGCGGTAATCGGCGTAGCGAGTGTGCGTAGTGCGTAGTAATGTACGTAGTGCGTATGTGCGTATGTGCGTGTAGCGTGTAGCGTGTGCCGTGGATGAGGGGCAAGAGGACGGACGAAAAGAAGTGAGAGAGCAACGAAAAACACGTGCGAGTGGAAAATCAAAAACGCGTACTACAGTCGCGGCGTCATCAACCGGCGATGCGCGTGCGTCCGTCCATGTAGGTACCTATAACAACTTTACTGGTACCAGAGACAGCGCCACAGCGGCAGCCATCGAGTCTACAGAACGTGCATATAAGTATATAGCTTACAACAACAATATCAACAACAACAACAACAAAAATCATAATAACAATAATAACAATAATAACAATAATAATAATAATATAATCGTGTGTTCTTCGTCGGGCATTCACACCCGCCGCTTACCACCACCACCGAAGCAATAGTACGCGTAGCCGGACCAATGAGAACGGTCGGCGTCGTCTCCCCGCCACATCAGGTTTCCCGCGGCCGGGACCCTTCGGCGGCAATATTTAACCAACACTCGCACGAGCCAGGACAATCATTCGGCATTCCGCCGTCGAGACTCCAGCCGTGTGGATGCGCATTGCACACTGACATCTGTTACTTGCAGCGGATCGAATGCAGTCAAGTTATTGACGGACAACTATGATATACGCAGACGTAGGACAGCCAGCGATGGACGAGGAAGGGCAACCGCGGGCTTTTCAGATACGCGGACACCTGGTGCACGGCATACCGCGAGTCGGCGACTCGAACTACGACCCGGCGTGTCCCACATGCAATCCGGGCTCGATCAACGACACGGACACACCGACCACGGTCGTGGTATCTTCGCCGCCGACGACCGTGACCACCGCGGTGGCCGTCCCGGTCCCAATTCCGGCGACAAACGACTACAATTATAACGGGCCGCTGCAACATGAAATCGGCCCAATGGCTGCTTTACGGCAAAATGGGGTAAATTATTAGAAATATATTATTCGTTTTTGCATGCGATATTTATAGCAATATAATACTTAGTTACCTATAAGAAAACGCTTATCGTTATAGGGCGCGGATAATGTCTGTTCCGATATTTTATCGTATAGTACCTACGCTAAGTAAATGCACAACATGATAATTTGTTTCGTTGAGATTGAAAATACAAAGGTTTTTTTAGTTTTCCACCTTATGGTTTTTTATGGACTTATTTTACTCGTCTTTTATTGAAAATTGTCGGAGTTTTCTAGAAATATTAAAATAACTTAAAAATGAATTATTTGAAATTTGGTTCAATATTTTTCGCTTAATATTGAAAATGTAAACACGTCTATGTAGACGTAAATATACCTATGAATTTCCTGGATAATATGTCCCGCAGTTACGATATCTTTAAGTGTACCTATCTTTTAAGCAGTCGAAATGTTAAGTACATATTCAGCACGGTTATTTAGTGTAGATGACCGTAATATTTAGACAGGAAAATATCGAAAGATCTCTGACCATTGTTTATTTGTTAATAATCAATGTTTATGATTATAATTTCATAGAATTAAATGATTTTGATAATTTTTTTAGTGCATATTTGGCCTGTTTTTAGTGTTACATCCGCGCTCTATTATTCGATATAAACTTGTAAGTTATAAATTATAATATTTCAAGCGTCTTGCGTTTGTCATTGTAATAAGTCGTATTTTATGAACACGGAAGAGACGAGTTATACACACGCGTTGTTTAGTCCTGTTCGCATTATATTTTACATGAATATATAACTGTATTACCTGATGTTAATTGTTATTATTAATTATTATTTATTGCCAAATTTATTTTAGGTGGCTTATTATAATAATTGGTACTTACTTATTTTATTTTATTTATTAGACATTATAATAAACTATTATTGTTACCTATAATATGTTTATTATTTAACTGTGCTTTCATTTCACAGCGAGTAGATGTTTACTTCGTTTTGATTCGTTTATTTCATAATTTCCAATGTTCAGCTACTGTTTGGATGACACAACCGATAACATGTCTTATTTTTAAAATGTAGTTTTGGAAAATTACTATGAGATTATTATAATAATCACTTGAAATATTTCCTTAAATTCGATTAATATTTTTATTTTTTAATGAAACACAAACATTTTGAGTTAAAGTAAAATCAAACATTTTTTTGTATTATATAATATATTAATATTGCATTATTCTATATTATATACAAGATATATATAAATTGTATATTATATTCTTGTTTTTGGTTTTACCTAAACTAAATATGTGTGTAGCAACATTTTAGATTATGAGTGGCACGATAAATAATAACGTAATGATTTTACAACGATGTGTCTTTTTTATATTTTTATGGCACAACGGAAATTTTTACCCAAAACTAGTATTAAAAATGACAAATTCCGTTTATTATTTGTAATTTCAAAAATAATAACTACAGATATTTGAAATTGTATAGTGTATAGGCCATAGATAAAGACATAGGTGCAAATTGAGTTTTCAATTTGGGGGGGGGGGCTGCAAAACGATTTAATCCAACCCATTGTGCTTCCACACTCCCTTATTTAAATTGTAGGTAGGTATTCTAAAAAACCTACAAACATCTATTTTCCAATTTTTATTTCTTTTAACTTATCGGAGCTTTATTATTTAAACGACTCAGAGGTCTTCATAAATTTGTTTAACAATCGTCTGTATTTTTTTAAATACATAGGTACTAGATATTAATAATATTATAAACAAATTTTGGTTTTTCAACATTAAATTTGTCAAATGATTAATAGAAACAAAATAGTTGTATCAAGAATCCTTAATATACTAAGATATATTATGTACCTAAATGATAAAAATATCCCTATATATTATTTTGAAATTGTATTTCCTGAATTTTTTTTTGAGGGTAGTTATTTATGTCTTTGTACGAAGTACGATATGGACACTCTAAAAACGTGTTATTGGTGCTGCCATATATTTTGTTGTAGGTACATTATGTAAGTAATGTTATAAATTATATATTATGTTGATAGACAACATTCGGACAGTATAAGGCATGCCAGTTATAATTATATATATCTGTAGAGAGATGGTAGAATTTTACAAATTTAATTTTGCCGCTACATATATTTTCAAATAATGACATCAGTTTTGGTCTTTGAATATAAATGTCACCACACACATAATAGAGACATATCATATTAAATATGATAGAAGAAAAATGTTTTCCACCACTTGAAGTATACGATTTCTAAACTATTTAAATGATAATTCAAAATATACATATCAGCTTCTGCCATCATTCCACAGATATGTAAATATATATAATATATAGGCTTTAAATAAATGTATAAATCTATACAAATTTGAAATTTACATATGTCATTGTAATTTAACATTGACCTTATAAGTAGCTAATGGGCAATAGCACCTTTTTGTTCTTAACTATAGTTATAAAACCTAAAGGTTCTATCTAGATGATAAAAAATTAGCCTCCAAAAAGTACTATTTCATGTTCATTGTATCAATTAATAATAATATATACAATAAAAATACAAAAGTACAATATTACTAATATTATTGTAGGTACCTAAGAACATATTTTATTAACAAAATAACAATTAATTCTATAAATAAAAATAGTACAATAATATTATTTTATTTAATATCACATGAAAATGGTGAATAATGTTGTTAGTTCATTTTTTTATTTGACAATCATTAAAAATAATCCTTTACGAAATATATTGTATACACTTTCTAATGTATAAAAATCGTTTTTAAAATGTTTTTGAGAGGTGAGGTTGTGCGATGACACGACTAACTTATAAGTATAGATAATTGGACTACCATTAATGGTCGAATACGCCGTCATAATTTTTATCTTATGTATTAGACATTTCCATATAATATGAATATTAGTTTTAAAATATATATATATAATTTTTTTGTTATATGTTATCAGTTAACAACCATATTATATCAAATCATTTAATATTTCTTACCAGCCTGCTGGTGTGGTGTATTGACTATTGCTTATATTATGAGCTTTTAATTCATTCAATTATTTCTAGCTAATTGAAAAGTACATTGGTCGATATGAATAATAATAGCAATTAATATTAATATTATAAAAAGAAAGGAGAATATAATAAATTTATATATCTACATTTATTTATACATAATATAATATGCATGTTAAACAGCCCAGTTAATTGTAGAAAATTAAAAGCTCGCATGCCTAAAAAAATACTAAAATGACACCCCCGGTGGCGTGATTTCCGTTTTTGAAAGTGTTTTTGACTAGCAAATAATAAAACTTAAAAAAAACAGCTCGCTAACAATAATTACATTATAATATACTATACAAATGCATTTTAGTCTCAATACAAATAGCCTTCTCACATAATTTTATACTTAGTTACTAGTTAGTATCGTAGGTTACTTTCATAGGCATAAAATATATCTCACCCATTTTTTTTTTTTTGAGAGATAACAATGATCAAATAATTAATGCGTAATATGTAGAGGGATACTTAAATATATATTACCTATTAGCTACTATATGAAGGCCCGAAACTAGCCCATACCCGGCCCGACAGTGGCCCGCTAATGACAAAGAGGAAGGGGGAGGGGTAAAATGCTAAAATTACGCCACTGGACACCACTGATCAAAATTATTACTTATATACGTCCACAAATTAATTGTATTTTATTAAAAGTGTTTAATTTTATGAATTTTCCAGGGAATGTTTGCACGTACTGATGAGACTTACTCTTTTAGTGGATTTCTCACCGGTATTGCTGTTGTGTTCATATCAGGTGAGATGGCCGGAATAGGAATGCTCGCCGCTCCATGGGCAGTAGTTAACCTAGGTAAGTCTCTATAGTAATAATTGTACAAAGTACCACAATTCGTTTCATGTCTACAATTTTACTGTAGTTATTTAGAACGATAGTTTGAAAATAATGATACAATTTAATACATTTACCTATTACAAGTATACATATTTCAACTTTGCTACGAAAAAAAACCCCATTCTATTGTCAAGCCCATAAATATTTTTTCCAGTACTTTTTATGGTATAACTATATTAAGTTTTTATGTTTGCATTACATTATTAGGTATATAATACTGCAATACTTACCAAACTATTTGAAGTAGGTATATTTTTATATGTTAGTACATTTTGATTTTGAGACTTTTGAATACTAGTAGGCTATACATTTTAAATAAATGTATAAATCAATACAAATTTACATAATATGTAATTGTTATTTTATAGTGACCTTATATATTTAAGTTATGCCTAACTTAAAATTTTTTTTTCTGCAATAGTTTAAACATTACTATATTAAATAGGTAGTATATAAGTACCTATCGATAGGAAACCGAGAAGGCGGTTATTCAAAACCCCAGGTCAAATCTATATAATGTGTATAACCTTCGTAAATTTACTACACACCGATACTAGTGCAACAATTAGTTTCTATTATTATTGTAATTTAATAGTTTTTTTTTCCAAATACAAATAAATTTAGTCTATAATAACCTGCAGGATGTATACATAGACGTATCATAGACGTAGGTACTAGCCACTATAGGTACCCGTTATAAACCGATGGATTATTATGACCTGTGCTCATTGTTTTCAGGATGGATTGGATTTATTTTGTTGATAACTTATGGAATTGCAACAGCTTACAGTGCTTGTTGTCTCGGTACTTGTTGGCTAATTCTCGAGGAGAGATATGCCCAGTACCGTATCTACCCGATACCAGATCCATATCCAACAATTGCGATGCACGCAGTGGGAAGACGAACTAGGTATTTATATATTATTATTCACAATCGTCAATAGTAATAAGGTTATCGCCTTATAAACTGTGATGTGCAGATGAACGACGTCTTTCGCACAAATGCATAATATATACATTAAAATAAAATAGATATATTGCTCTGCTCAACAGTTACTTCACCTACCTAGTAAGTGTCAAGTTTACCTCGTAATTGATTAAGTCATTGTGCTGTAAGTGTTAAATTTGAATTCAACGATAAATCATTGCATACGAAAAATGATTCTGACTGAAGACCATATTTCAGCCAATATAATATTCCTAATAGTATATTTAATTATATATTTATGTTACCATACTCGTATTTTATTTTACTATTAGTAATACCCACTACGGTGGTACATTGAATTAATTTGTAAGTTCTCGTGAATGGAATGTTTGGTTACAATGTATAAATATTCGAATGCGCGAAAGTCGTCGTTCCCTGCTGCAGGGTCGTCTATATAATTCTACAATGATATAGTTACTCACACAACTATAATCGCAATATTATTACTAATAACTTTTAACAAAATATGGAGACACTATACATGTATAATTATTATAACTTATTAGCGTCGTTTTTAGCCTTGTAACGAGAGCATGCATCACCATTACACTGTTCGGGTCTGCAACCGTATACTTAATGTTGATAGCCCAGTCAGCCCAGAAATTGTTTTTGGGCACACATCCGGAAGTGGAGTTTTCCACTTGGCTATTTGTTTTTTCCGTGTCCTTGAGTTCACTGATGTTTTTGGAATCCCCTAAAGATTATTGGTAAGTTCCTTCATGCTTCTATAATAGTGAAAAAAATATGCTAATAGATAATACAGTGAAACTTCCTCATTACAAAGTCAGCTCATAAAAAAATCCTATAATAAAGATATTTGTTGAATAGAATTACAAATAAATAGTAATTGCTTTTAATTTGACTATGATAGACTCAAGTCTCAATAATATTTCGTTAAACAGAGAATTCGCTAAATGGAAGTTCATTATGCTACAGAAGTTTCACTGTATTATGATTTTATTTTAACATTAATCGAAACATGTGAATTTTAGCGATAAGGTATCTTATAACTGTCATACTGTACATATTATAGTATAATACATACCTATTAGGTATACAATTTACCACATCATACAATTATTAAGTTTCACAAGACCTTTGTAACTCAGGTGGTAATTAAAACCAAATATGTACTAACTTTTGTAACTAAATTAATATTACTCTCCATACTCACTCTAAAATTTAAATATATTATTATTATTTATTTGTTACTTTTAACTATAAATTTAACGTTGTAGCATGTAGGCGTTTAAATTACTCAATTAAATTGTTGTTATTAACTTTCTTGCCTTTAATTAAGTACCGATATCGGAGATATCAGAGACATGGGTGATATTACATATGACAGTTATAATGTATTTGTATATTATATTGACTGTACGATGAATATTAAAATATAAACAAATTATAATTGTTGATCGTTCGATTTGTTTTTGTCTTCAACAGTATTCTGGCCACCGGTGCGTTGCTCACGACAATTACATCCTGTTACTTCATCATAATGCAAATGCTCCTGGATGAACGTATACAAGAAGGCTCGGCGACTGACTCACAAAAAAGTGTGCCACCCAACCAATTTTTCTTGTCCTTTGGAACAATACTTTTCTCTTATGGGGGAGCGGCATCATTCCCAGTGATAAATTTTCAGATGTTCAAACGTGACGAGTTTTCGCACAGCGTGGTAACCGCGTTTGTCAGTGAGTATATAACTATACTTATTATTATTAAAAAATCTTATCGTAATTTTGGTGGAGCAAATGACTGTGGTTGACCGACTTGACATGGGTAGGTACTTTCAAACGATTTTGGAGTACCTACCCATGAACGTATAGGTCTGGCAAAGGTACTCGCGGTTATCAAGACACCTATATAGTCGTTATTATTTTCTGGTAAACTATTATATTATTATCTATTATTGACACTAAATTAGGTAGGCATTAACTTTTTTATAGCTACAAGATTCTATATTATTTTCCAAAATAACATCCGTTTTCTAAATATAATTTGGATTCGTGACCTTCATAATCGTATCTTTGATAAAATATTATCGTCGATATTCTATGCAATAATCACAGCAATTTGCATTTACATGGTAAATCACAAATTTTTTATGTGAAATTCACGTTACAGGGATATGGTTTATTGTCCCTTGGCAGTCGTAAATACATCGCTTGTTTTATTGGGCAGACCTACTTATACTATATTGTCATTTGTCTTGTATATACTAAAAAATGTTCTTAAAATTATATAAGGCAGTGTTGACTACCTGTTAGAAACCACAATAACAGAATATATAGTTTGCCTAATAATCGATGGGTATAGACATAAATGAACGATAACTGATAAGTACCCTGGACATTTTTGGCAGGTTCGATCTTTGGAGCGACATAGTGCTGGAAAAAGTATATGCAAACAGTACATTGTACATGCTATTTTTAAACACACGCCTCTATAATATTATTATTTTTCTACAATATCTTAATGTGTATTTAAAATGTAGGTAATAGGTATCGACATAACATTGAAATAAATTTACATGTTTAAAAATTTCTTTATGGTGATTTACGTATCAATAAAATATGTGATGATATAAATTATTGTAAATGGGTGAGTTTCGATTCATCTCCCATTTCGATGAATCTATTCTGTATATATAATATGGCTCACATCAGCTCCCGAAGAAATGTTTGACATAGGTATAAATGTATAATATACTATATTATGACCTATAGGAACTAGAACTATACATATGTGTTGGTATTTGTTGCTCCAAAAATGACTGATTAAACAAAGTATATACTTTTATGTGTGTGTTTGGTTATTTATTTTTTATTTTTATCCTTGTTCCAGTTTTGACTATTCTGTTCGGGGCAGTGGTTGTTGGAGGATACATGGTATATGGTCATACAATTAATCCAAACATTCTCATGTCCCTCGGTGACTCGTGGCTATCGTACTCAGCACTTATTTTGATGGCGGCACATTTAGTTTTAGGATTCGTCATCATGGCTAAACCGGTGACTGAACAAGCTGAATCGTTCTTTACCTCAACACAAGGTAAGCACTAATTTAAATTATTGTTGTGAAATCATAATATATTACTCCATATTAAAACAATAAAATACTTGTCATTATAATATTCATCACGGCCCACCGCATTTCAACCCTTTTTCCTAGCGATGATTTTATAAGGACTATAAAACGATAAAACCCAGTTAAAACTCTTTAAATTAAGTTAGTATACTATATACAAATAATGTAAGTTTACCGTAAAGTTATAAGTTACTTTCCATTGTATCAACTTGTAATTACACATGTTAAATAGAAAAAAAAACGGGGGAAAGTAGGTAACCGCTCTGCTGTAAGGTTGGTGTCTCGTCATTGAGGAGTACCTATAAGTCTCTGTAATATATGTACTATGTACACTAAACATATACTAAACTATATACACTAAACGAAGACGGTCTGTCAGCCTATATTAGGTACTAAGTACATTTCATGATATATTAATTGTATTGCTACCTATTAAAGTAATTTATTTCACTGTTCTTAAAACAGTAAATTTAATTCATTTTTGCCGAAAACATTTGCATTTGTAAATGTCATTGTGTGTCATCACTGTCATTATAATGAAATAACTAAAATTGTTATTCTTTGTTTAAATATCAAATTTAGATTAAATGAACTAGTAATATAAAAATATAAACTATTAAAATATTTAAAAAAAAACTGTATTTATATATTTTTTAGATTTTTTAGTTACAGTATGAATCTGCTTATAAAAAACATTGTTTAAATTCTTAGCTATAAAATTAAAATATTTATAATTTTTGAACTTAAAATAATTTGCCAATTTTCTTGATTTTGATAAGTTTTGTTAAAATTTGAATTTTAAATGTTTATTAAAAAAAACTGCTATACAACTTATGAGAGCCTAATATAGGAATCTTTTATTACATTTTTTAATTTTTTGACCAAGCGAACACATATTATCGACATTTAAAGGGAAAAAAATCCAACATGTCAAATGGCAAATGTCTATAAATAGCTTAAAATGAGTTTGGTATGTATCTTAGTTAAAAATAATTTGACTTAGTAACTTGCGAATACTCTGCCTCGATAAGTTGAATTTATTTAGTCGATAATACCTATATAATTATATTATCGAATAGATATTTCGTTTATTACGAGATAACAGTTATTTTTATTCAGTTAGTTTGTATTAAGGTTTGAGTTAACCTATACCTACCAACCCCGCTTATCAGCACACACTTAAAATGTCAATATTATTTTCAGGGTTTGGTTTTCAACGGTTCTTCGTCCGCATATGCCTTTTACTTGCCATGATATTTGTGGGCGAGTGCATGCCCAACTTCACTAACTTAGTTGCTCTGATCGGATGTTCAACTGTAATACTTGCCACCTTTGTACTGCCGTCGGTTTTCTACTTGAGGTTGTGTGCACAGCAAAGCGCCACTTGGCCTGACAGGTATATATTATTGTATATGGTATTTTTAATTCAATACAATTGTCCTATAAACCTCTAGCCAACAATATATTGTCACCATACCATTGTTTTATGGTCAACAGTTATTAAACGATCACACATTTAAACTGAAGTATCGATATTAGCGGACATGTAACTTAAGAAGATTTTATACAGTGTTTTAAATTAATTTGCCGTTTTTGTTTTTGAAACTGGATAAGTCACCTTTTTATACAGTAGGTCGACTCTACCCTCATTATTCGGTAATGTCACAACGTCACTGTAATGAATAATGTTAAATTTGATTGAATGATAAATCATTGCATACTAAAAAAAGATTCTGAGCGAAAACGATCTGTCAGCCTTTATACATATTTTATATACATATACATTATACATATTTTATGAACAATTTATGTTGATATTATAGTAATTTATTTTACTACATATTATAAGTAGGTACTTACGGCAGGTTGAATACATTCTTTCCAAAAACATTACATTTATTATAGGTATTACCCTTTATTGTAGCTATTACCTGTTATTAATATAATATAATTGTTATAATAGTATAAATACTATATTTGTATTGAATTTTTATTAGCTTATAAATCCATACTGACATAAAGTATAAGTAAACAAGCCAGATGGATATATCTAGTATATGTAAATACATTTTTTATTTTTTTTATTGATCTTACGCCCGGAAAATTAGGCCATTTATAGCTGTAGAATGGTACTGTAGGGTTTTGGGGACTTTAAGGAACAGTCAGGGGAACACGTTTTTGTGTTTGGCAGAATTTTCAAGTGGGCACCCGTAGGTATCTGCCATGCCCGGGTGGGAGATGGAGGCCTCTCTCTACAGACACCGCGACTGACCTAAGAGAAGTGCCACCCATGACTGAGGTTCGAACCGGAGACAGTACGCGTCGCAACCGACGCCTTAGTCCGATCGGCCACTCCCGTCCCTCGTAAATAAATTGGTTGGTGTAAATATCAACAAAAAACATTTTATTAAACTTTCAAGCATTACCTATTAAATTGAAAATCTCATGAATAACTATACAACGTAATTTGGGTATTTTAGTGATTGTGAAAATTTCAGAAGCTCAGAAAAAGAGTAACTGGATTTAAAAAAAAAATTGTTGCAATAAGAACAACTATCGAAGAATTAGGAACACTGTATAAAATTCAAAAGCTTTTGACTAAGAAAAAATTTGAATTTAAAACGATTTAAAAAATTAAAGTGGCTTAAGACATTAAGAGTGAATATTTGTTAATTCCAGTAAGAACATTTTATGAAAAATCGTGTTAATTGTATTTGTTTTTTTTAGGAGCCTGCCGTGGAAATCCAAATTGTACATGTATACAATTATTATTCTTGGACTTTCCAGTGGTTTAGGAGCTATGCTTACAGCTCTTTCTGAATTATTCGACCTGCGATCTCTCATTCCTCATTATTATTACTATTATTTCTATGACTTAGACGATCCTAGTCTAAGCTAATTAATGGTAAGCATCAGTGTAGTCATAGATATTAAATTAATTTACTAGTATACTTAGCTAACACATTGTTTTTATTATGCAAAAAGGTGAACCTACCTAAATATATTATATTAAGTTGAGTTAAATATAAGTTATTTTAATTTCTTAAATTGTTTTCCCGACATTATTTTTTTAATTTAAATATTATTGTAATTTAAACAATGCTAATAATAAAAATTTGAAAGTTAATTTAAATGCAAAGAACTTAGAAAGGCGTCATTAAGAATATAACGTACATTTTTTTTACATACATTTTCCCTAAATTTTGTTTTTAATCCCTTCCAAAAAGAAGCACGATTTGATTTATTTTGATGGAATATCGAGTTCCTTAGTCTCTTTAAATATTAAAAAAAAAAAAAAAAATACTTTATGGGACTATGAGAATAATCTAAACAGTATATGGTGACTATTCACTATAATAAAATACAATTTATTTATTCTGAATATAATATTACTAGCTGACCCAACAGGCGTTGCTCAGGGAAGAATTTTTTTTTTTTAATGTATATGCAATATTCATACGATGGATTGGTCCATCCCATATCCAATGTTTTATTGTATGTTAAAAGTGTAAAATCAAAAACCTGGTTTGACCGTCTTGCTAGACAGTAATCACCTAAAATGAAAATCGATTAACGTGCGCAGTTTAATCATTTAAGAAGGAACTGCACGGACAATAGCTGTGGAATTTTATATTATTTTACTGTAAATAAATAGTCCACTTAAATGACTAAATTTAATTTAAATCGATTGGGTATAATTTTAAACCTGTACAATATTACATTTTGATCAAAACAACCCAAATAATTGTGTTAAATATCTTTGGAACTTAAGTTTAAGAAGGTTTAAGTCCTTACAGGATCAACTAATTATATATATATTTATCATAAATAATTCTATTATTTAACATATAATATTATAATAGTATACTTAAAAGTTTTTTAATCAAAGGTCCTTATATGTAATACCTATAGGAAAATTACCTATGTAATATATTAGTAGTACAATTCTTATTGGTATTTTTATAGATACTTATTTTGTAAATATATTAATAAATAATAATAAAACAACTAAAAATATTATCAAATGAAACAAAAAAAGCTTTACATACACAAATTGAAATTTTGGTAATTTAATCTTATAAAATATTAAAGTAATAAATATTATTCCACTAGAAGTGGTGAGTAGGATACACACATTATTATAAGTCTTCTAAATGTATAGTTAGGGTTTTAATGATTTTTTGATTCAATTTCAACTGGTGTAATAAGTTTGGTTACTAAATTTGTTATTAACCCAACCATTATTTCAAATATTTCATCTAATCTAACGTTATTTTAGTTGAATAGGTACTCAATAATTTAGCTATTTCTGTACTAGTTATTTAGATTTACTTATGAAGTTATTAAAAGTAAAAATATCGTTGTTAAATGTACATGTTGTTTATTATAATACATGTTTTTTTTTTCAGTGCACTGCACACAATCAGACTGCTTTAGGATGCACGGGCTGTTGTTTCACCACTTGCAAACACAGCTCAAAAACATCCGTCAACTTTAAAGACTAATATATCCTCCAAAATCGGCTGCAGCTGTAGCCCAAAGCATTCTTTAGTGGCCGATCACCGCAGTGATTAGTGAAACTCTTGCTATCACTGGCAACTTTTCGTCGTCCGGTGGCAGCCACTAAACTCTCATAAACGGCATCCTAGCAGTTGCATTTGACAGCTGTCACCATAATATTTAGTTTCCACTCATAAATTAATTTTGTTCGCTGGTGCCATATACCAAGCCCTTATCGACAAAAAACTATGTTCTAATTGTATAGAACAGTCGTATTTTTCCGTTTTTGCTCATTGTGGCAGTTAGTGCGATTTCCTTTGATTCAAATAATAAGTAATAAGTAATGCTCAAATGCCTAATGTTGATTCTGAGAAGATAAACACGGGAACTTGTAAATATAAATATACTTTATTATATTATATCATTAAGTACAAAAATTGTGGATATTATATTATATTATAATACCTATAGCCTTTTATTTTACTAGCTGTTTTACTATTAATGTTTAAATATTAAATGGAACTTATATTTGTATATCATAAATTTAGTATAACTTAAATAAATTAAAATAAAAACATAATACATTTATGATCATTAGAAAGTACTTATTTTTATATTCTGAGTGGACCGATGAACATATTCAATTTATAATGATGTGCACTTGTCTTTTTTTTTTGGAGATAACATTAATTATAGTAGCAAAAATACTCTAATCTTACACTTCAATAAAATATATTCTGGACTTCTGATAGAAAATTAAATCTAATTACTTCAAACTTTTGGAGTGTCAAAAGTAAAAAAGCACAGTATCTACTTTTCTTAATAATTGTGAAAAACAAAAACAAACATTTTGAACAAACCTTGTTTTCGACAAAATCGATCTTGAATTTTGTTGTATCTAAGTCACAAAAGAATAATCGATGATATAAAAAAAAAATTGATCGTAAATCCACAATATAAGCTTTTAAATAAAATTCGTCCAAATTGCAAACATTTTCAAATTATTTTATTGTTAAAAATATTCGTAAAATTTTAAATATTCATACCTACAATTTGAAAATCTAATACAAGGTTCCACATTAGTATTGCTTAGAATAATATAATTAAAAAAAGTAGAGTACAATTTTACTTATATTTTTTATCAATGATAAAAGTTAAGATTTTTACGAAATTGGATATATATACTAATAATATTAGTTATTTTTGTTGTAATTAAATAAGTATAATTCCTAGAATTTTTAAACATTTCAATGTTATATAAATAATAATTTTTAAAAACAATGAAATTATCTAAATATTTATTACTTCTAGTTTTTAATTACTTATTTACAATGTAAGCATTTAAAATGTTGATTTTTTTTAGATTTTTTTATATTAAAGTGTTCATTAAGATTTTTAGGCTTGGACTCAAGATTGTTATGTTTAAAATACAATGTTTTTAAACAACTTGATTTAAACATACTTAAAACATAAATTTAAAACATTTGTTTTAAACGTTTTGTTAGTTATTTAAAATGAATAAAAAACATGTTTGAAACAGTGTAAAATCCAGTTAATATTGTGATTTTTTTTTAAATAAAATTGTATTTTTTGTTTTAAATTATAATAATTTATAGTTTTTACTAAAACATTTAAACAATTTATAAGCACAATTTGTTTTATACACATTTAAATTAAACATTTTATGAAATTAAATATTTAAACGAAGATAAATTTTATTTTACATTAATTAAGATGTTAAATATTTAATTATATTTATATTACAAACATATAGATATATTCATTAAATTTTTGCCATTATATGGTACCTATATATAATAAATACCATTTTTTGGGCAACTATTAATTCCACTTATTGGTTACTGCATAGTGATGATTAAAACAAGACCAAGACCAAGACTTTAAAAATCGTGGTCTTGGCCTTGCTCAAGACTCTAGCAAGGCTCTTGCTTTTTTCACAAAAAATATAAAAAAAAAAAACTAAATACCTGTTATAGCTGTGTTTAGGTTTTTTGCTATGATCTTTAAGATGAAACTTATCGATTTTGAGAAAACAAAATAATTTTTCAGTAATTGCTAATTATTATGAAACAACTATGTTATTTTGTAATATTAATTCCAATTATTTCTAATCTTTTTTTTTGAATAATTCACTATTTCCTCGAATACTGATCAAATTTTATAACAATACAAATAATTTCTTATTATTTTCGTTATAAATTATTTTTTAATGAAATCTAGATACACTTATGTGTATTTGGCGAAAAAAAATGATGATGGTCATCATTTTGATGGTCTTGTTTTGGTCTTGGTCTTGCAGCTTCGGTATTGGTTTGGTCTTGGTCTTGCTAGACCAGTACCATCTTGGAGAGACCGCAAGACCAAGACCAATTTTGATCATCACTATTCACTACTACTGCATTACTAATATTGTAAAATATATTACTACAATAGCAATATCAATAGAATAAACATACCTACTTAGTAATGAGGCTGACTGATTGATTTCGTGTACATTGTTTATGAATATTGAGTTAAATTGACCATTTCATAGCGACTATTACTGATTGACAAAATGAACTCGACACCTACTCAACAGCAAAGCGTACTTGCCAATTTTTTGTTTTATTTTACTTTTGTAGCATATAATTGAATAATATATAAATATATGTAATATGTGTGTACAAATTGACAGATATTATTTGATATTTTTAACATAAATAACTTTACTTGTGACATACATATAACTTTATGTAACGTAGCTTAAACATTTGAAATTTAATTTATGTTTAGTAGAATGGTTAACTAGGCCAATACTAGGTATTTTAAAAACGGTCAGACAATTTTTGTTAAATTATTGAATTACTATAAAAATAATTATGTAGGCACTTGAACATGTTATTATTAAGCTGGGTCCACATTAGAGCAACATACAGCAACTTTTTCTATTGCAACATGTTGCTAATTTAAAAGTTGACAAGTGTTGACAAAAGTCACTGCATGTTTATGTTTTCAGCTACAAAAGTTCCTATTTGTTTCATGTTTCGATTAAAACCGAAACATACGGGAACATGTTTCCACAAAACAATGAAAAATTGGTAACAAATAGTGACAGGTAGCGACAAGTTTATCAGTGAGGACAGAATGTGGCGTGTTTCCAGTTGCCACGTGTTTCTATAGCGTGTAGTTTTATTCAATGCTTTATGTACCTAACATAAGTTCCAAAATTATAAACTATATAATCTAACGTTTAGTCATTGGCTATAAATACTAGAATTTTTCCGATAAATTCAGAAGTACCTACCTACACAATTAATAAACACACACAATAATAGTTTAAATATTATAACACATTATTAGTGTTTTGTCCAACATTGTCACAGTGACAGCGTATCAAGC